TTCTGTGTCAAACTAAAGATTTATTCCAGGGTCTTCTCAGATGTCTTCTGTAACTGGTTTTGGTTGGTTCTCAAAGTAGAAAAAGAAAAGACTAAATGTGCAAATGAGCGATACCTATTATCATTTGTTTTGCAAGGCGGAAAAACAGATCTTAAATCATAGTTATAAGTTATAGTTTTTCAAGAAACAATATCGATGCATATATATATAATAAGTATAAAACGTATAACCACTGTTTTTCCCATGAACACTTGTGTGATATTAAACGAATAGAAAAGACAAAAATAAGAAAACCATTTTAATAAGATTGGCTAATGGAGGTTATATTAACATTCTTTCTCAAAGATCTGAATCAAGTTATCGAACATAAATGGTATCTGATTCCTTGACTTTCGTAGAGCGAGGCATGTTTTTCGGCGAAACATTTCAACCTTTTTATGAAAGTGAAACTAATCGGCATAGTTCACTTCTGAGACGGGAAATTAAAAAAATTAAATTATAGTCATTTCTCTGCTTTTGTGTTACTTTTCTATAGAATGTGTACAATGTGTTAAATATATTTTCTAAGCCTCGAAATATAGGCTATGAAAACGTTCTTTTTTCATAATTTTATTGAAGCTATCACACCTATTTAATAGATCAGTCCAAAGAAAAGGCGCGAAGATTTAACGTGGCGTTTGGCGCGAAATTATGAATAATGGCCCGTCTTTTATAATTCTTAGACAGGTGTACTGTAGCAAAAGTATACACAAGTACATGTAGAGCACTACTCCCAATAGCGTAATGGTTAGCGCGTTGGGGATAAAAGGGGGAAAAAGCGGATTGGATTTTCACGCTGGCGACCTAGATTCAATTTGTGACCAAAATTTTTAATCACTTCTCAGCCTGACTTTACGAGGTTTTTTCCCAGAATCGGACGGAAGACCTCTCGTTGCTCGCAACGAGATCGTTTCTAGTTGTTATTACTATGTTTCTCCATTTCCTCCAATTCGCATTATTTTGTATACCACGTCCAATCATAATTCAATAGTAACTGATGGTTTGAAAAGGATTTTTACTTATTTTTTACATATTATTTTGTTTCTTATTTATTCCATCAGCATCTAAACCCCAAGGCCAAGGTTTGAATTGAAACAAATTCTAAAAATAAAAGGTGATCTTTAATTAACAGTAAGTATTTAATTAAAATGAATTTATTAGACATTTTAATTGGGCCTAAATAAATAAGTAGTGTGTTTTCAGCATGTTCACTCCCCGCCTAACTCTAAGAAATATAGGAGCCGGCTCTCAATTTTTTTCTGCTAATATCTTTCCATGAGTAAACTAAAACTACTGTATGTATACTTTAAAATGCAGGCTTCATATTTTAGCGGCTTTGGTGCAGACAACAATGCACTAATTCATGAATACCGCTAAGAAATCATTTACATATATACAATACACCGCACATACATGTGTAGCGCTAATTTACGAATATGCCAACCCAGTGATTCAATATGCTAAAATTTTGAGAGCACCACATTATATACACATATTACAGTATTCCAGTTTACAATTAGAAATGAAATCCCAATCTTGATCACTTCCATGTTTGAGAAATGCATATCTTACACATATTAATCAGAAATATTTTGACAGTGAAATCCTGGGGGAAAGTGGCAGCGTGGCTGCCAATAAAATGTTAAAATAAAATAAAAATGTTTTTCCTACCTACCTACCCTATCTTTTCTAAGGTTAAAATAGGAAACACTACCTATTTATCAACTTTTACAATTAATTCGCCCACACAGGCCTCACTAAACAGGTTGGGAACACATCCCCTTAAGCAAGATCATCTCTCTAAAGCGCGATTATCCCTCTGTAGCGGGAGAAAATACATCTCGGAAAACCGAGATTTGTACTCCGATTCAAACTGTAATCGTTTTAACTTCTGAAAAAGGAAAATCCGGGAGTATGTTAACCCATTCGATAAATATTTATTGTCTCATCTCAATAAATTTGCTTCAAAATATTGTCACTACTGCTGCAAATCATGGAAATTAGAATAAGTTTATGAACAATAGCCTAGCCTTTCTACGGAGGACCACAGGTGATAATTATCAGTACAACTAAACTTACTTCGGTTATACGGTTATTGTAATTGCATGTTTACCTTATTTTTTTTTAATACGCCTGCTTGAAAAGCGGGAGTGTATACAGCATGATATAGTGATGGGGTGTCCGTCACTTTGGAATTTCCATAGGGCATGACGATCTCGACACGAAGTCTATTTGGTGACCTATAAATTCTCAAATCGCCTGATTGACTGATATAAAGTCCCACCTTCTTACTGTAAGAAGCGCCCTCATTGGTTATTTGCTACACTTTTCAGAATTTTGAGGATCTTCTAACAGATATATAAATTTTTCTGTATATTTTATCCGTGAAAATAATACGTTCAGTGTCAGTTTTAAATTCTCGTTCTACGTAAATTAATCAACCCTAAAAAAAAAAAATTTTCCTATACTATTGCACTGTCTCAAACTTTGCAAGTTATATTGGAAACGTGATATTTTAGACGGCTAGAGATGGTACATGTAGATGGACGGATAGGTGTGTGTTGGGGGGGGGGGGGTACTAGAAACAAATACAGTAGGTAGGTTGTACGACTAGATTTCTTTAAATGTATCATATACCAAGACTCTTATCAGGCATGGTAAAAGCTATCGACATAACCATTTTAAATCTTTACCACTTATCGGTGATCAATTAAGACTCGATCTTCTAATAAGGAAGATATTAAAGGTGATAATAGCTTAGCTTATTAAATCAATAAAACAATTACAAGGTATAATAAAATGTAAAATTCGAAGTATCCCATTCAATGTTCGGCATTTAACAATAACAATCAACACGTTTAGCTTTTTTTATTTATTTGATTTTTGAGGGCAGATTTTTCAGAAGCCCCCCCCCCTTTTTTTAAATATAAAAATGCCACCTGGCACCTGGTGTGTGTGCTTTCATGTCGCCTATGTTTTGGAAAGTATCTGATTCCCTATTAAAATTTACACTTAAAACTTATGCCGGATCCCAAAATATGTTTCCAACACAATTAAAGTGTCCTCAAACGAAGAAATGTTCAGTGAAACCGGTAAAAAACATTAAGAATTTATGTCATTAAAATACGAATACCTAGGGAATACTTCTTTAAATTATAATTAATAACACGTAAGTAGCAGCAATTTCAACAATGCAGTTTCGCATTTCTGTTTCTCTAATTTCGTATAGTTATGAAATTTAATTCAAGGTAAATTGTTTTATACTATCAACAGGCACGTTTCTGTGTTAATGAACAGATGGTAAGTGGTAACTGAAAAAAAGTTTGACCCCCCCTTTTACCTGCACGAAATAGGATTTTGGGGTTTGGACAATGGTCAAATTTTCCTCTTTTTGTCAAGTTCTTTTTTCAGGTTGAATTTTGTTCTCTTTGAATTAGCCACCCCCTTTTTTCCAATTTGCTTCCGACGCCGTTGAATCATGCTTTCCTAAATTTACAATTTTGCCATGCATCAACATTTGTACTAAGTCAATATCGGTTAGACTCAATATAAACCTTTTTTATGAATTTCTTTTCATTATTCCATTAAATTAATGGTTTACCCATATTCTATACACATCTCAGTTTATACTTGTTTCTTTTTATCATGACTTTTCCACAAACGTTACAACCCTGTTGCGCTTCCGTACTTCTTCACGTCAACCAAAGATCAAATATGTAAGCAAATATCATGGGTTTCTGAAGAACATTACTTTTAAATTTTGTACAAGAATGGAAAGCTAAGACCCTAATGAATATAATTTGGATATCTATACATATTTTATATGCTTCAAAAACATGTCTGACTGTAAATCTTGAAACCTTCGCTAAAAAGGTACGATTTACACGTGGATTTCAACATCTTATTCTCACACGCAGCAGTGATTGTCTTAAATTTCTGGTCAATATTGTCAGTTTTTTGTAGTAAATTCACACTTCAATACAGCTTTCTCCCGGATTTTCAATACGCACGAGATTTTCGATTATTTTATAACGAAAACAACAAAATTCCCGTTTATGGTAATGTTTTTTCTCCCGCTAAAGAGGGATAATCGCGCTTTAGCGAGATGATCTTGCTAAAGGGGATGTGTTCCCAACCTGCTAAACAGCTAAAGACCAGACAGTCGCACAGTCTATATTCTATAATAATTTGTATGGGCATGAGGAGGATAGGTACATGTTTCACAAAAAATGGGGACAAGCCTTAACCGCTTACCATATCCCGGGGGTGCTGAACTCATATAAATCCGTGGTTTGTTTTTACTGGATAGCCATTAGGCCTATAAACATGATAGGGTACAATTAAAAAAAAAACGAGGTCTAGGTCGGGTCAAACTTTCCCAAAGTTTTACGTGCATTCAATATTAAATGTTACTTTACGAACGTCTATAAGAAATAACTGCATGCCTGATTTACGTAGTTAAATAAGTTTTCAGCCTAATATCTTTTAAATATGATAAAAAATCTACTTACCACATTCTCGGAGCAGCCATTGCCCGCAATAAATTGGTATCATCTGGGGACCAGTTTAAGCGTTCCGAATGAACATTTCCCAGCATCCTCAAACATTCGTTTTACGGTGCAGTGAGAAAATTACTGCGAGTCAATTTTACGGACTTATGGGGATTTTTTCAAAAATGACCACAAATCGAATAAATATTATCAGTAGAACACGTAGAATTCAAAAAACCCCATGACCATATTTGTGGGGAACGAGAGAGTTCCCCACAATTCTGAACTTTCCCCATAAGAAAGGTCCTTTGTCAGGTGTGAGTTCCCCACAAGTCGGTGAGCGCGAGTTCTCTCTCTCTCTCTCTCTCTCTCTCTCTCTCTCTCTCTCTCTCTCTCTCTCTCTCTCTCTCTCTTAGAGTACATAACGGTTATTACCATATCATGTATTTATGTTGTTGTTTTTTCTTTCAGAGTTTTATAAAGATTGTAAGAAACTCTATATCCATGGCAATACAGAATCTGGTGTTTATGAGATATATCCATTTGGTATTGAAAGCAAGGTCAGCGTCTTCTGTGACATGATGACAGAAGGTGGAGGGTGGACAGTAAGATCTCTCTATCCTTCTATCCCTCCTCAATTTCTCTCTTTCTAATCTCTCTCTCCCTTTCTCTCACTCTCCCTTTCTCTTTCTCCCTCCCTCTCTCTTAAACTCAACCATAAATTTTAACTAATATTTCTTTAATAATTTATTAAACTTTGATTTTAAAACTGCAATCATTATTTTAGCTGAATTAACATTAAATTATTTTTTGTACTTGTTTAGAGGAGGATAATAAAATTCCAAAATAAATATTTTAATTACAAAATAGAAAAAAAAATTATAGATCATAATTTTGATAACAAAGTTTTTTTTTCAACTTTAAATAGTTGTTGGTATTAATATAATTAAAGAAGACTTATATACGAATCTTTTGTGTTTAAATCATAACTTTAAAAAAAATTAACTTCACCACTTTCTTTAATAAACCCGACATAATTCACAAATCCTTAGGCTATCCAGAAACGTGTCAATGGGTCAGTCAGTTTCGACAGAACCTGGACAGACTACAAGACGGGATTCGGGAATCCTAACGCATCCTACTGGATTGGTAAACTATATACAGTTATGGAATGACTACAGAGGACAAATTTATAGCTCCCCGAGGGTTAAGATTCCAGATGCAGAAATATTCCCCTCCCTCGGGGAACCATTAATTTGCTATTTACATTGTACCCATTCTATAACTGTGTTATATTTTATGTTGTTTTAGGGGATGATAATTCTTCTGATTATTAACAGTTTAAATTAGCATTTAATTTTGTAGCAGTTAAAATGAAGTTTATAACAATTTGTGTAAAATACAATATATAACGATTTCCCTACTTTAATTTCAAAACATGTATGTTCATTGCTGCATGCACTTCACAATTAGAAATTTCTGCATACCTTCATAATCGTATGTTGAATTATATGACAACTGGAAATAAATATGTTTTGCTTTACTGATTCTTTATATATTACACGATGATAAAATATTTAAGGAAATGACGTTATCCATCAACTTACCAAGAGAGGGAACTCCTCCCTCTACGTATCTATCACACTGACTAATGGGACAAAACTCTATGAATTATACAACCAGTTCTCTGTTGCTGACGAAACCAGCAAATACAGACTTTTTCTTGGCGGACCAGCTACCGGGACCCTAGGTAGGTAAACTGAAAAAAGAATGTACGAATGACGACCTATATTAAGGAGAGAGAGGGAAAAAGAGTTTAATTTCTTGTGACAGATAGACAAATACCAACTCTTTCTCTGAGAATCAGCCCTATAGTTATGTAATTAATGGAGGGGGATGTGTGGATATCAATATTTTGAAAGTAAAATTTTCCTTGTATACTGAAAATCAAGAGTCCATACTTTAAGAGCCAATCAGTAATAAATTGCTAAAAGATTGAACATTTCCACGTCATAAACTCTACATGCGTACTTGTACGTAATGTTGTCAGATACATAACTCATACAGAGAAATCAATTCAGGTGTTAAACGATTATTGAATTAAAAAAACACTTTCATTGGAAATGTAATTACTTACAGTCGATAACGAGGAGTTTTTGTAATTATCCCGCTTTTGTGCTGAAGATATAAATAGTAGATATAACAAAAGAAATACAACAATAAAGAAAGAAGTTAACTACACAAGTTGTATCTACGTGTAGTCGCACAAATTTGAAGAATTCTAATGATCAATGTGTTGATAAAATGGAAGAAAAGCTATAGTTTCCTGTTCTGTTAACTGAAAGAGGTGAACCCCCCCCTCCCCCCCCCCCCCCAAAAAAGAAAAATATCAAACCTTTATTTTCTAATGTTATATCAATTTATTGGTTCATGAAATTATTGTTTCTTGATATGTAAGTATATAGGCATACCCATTTCAATGTTAAGTAAGGCTTCACATGAATGAAATAATAATTAACTTTATTGATGTCACCCGCGTGGCGCGGTGGTTAGAGCCGCGAAGTAAGGAATCTTAAAGTTGCGGGTTCCAATCCCACTGTAGCGCGTGCAGACTGGTCCTTCGGATGAAATCGTATAAATCAAGGTCCTGTGTCGTAGTAGATGCTGGCACGAAAAACATGGCGAACTGCTCAATTGCCGTGTATAACATGTATTACAAAACAAAATTTCTAGTTCTCAACCGGCAAGTGATGGCGTCAACATATGAGTGAAAAATGCTCGAGAGGGACGCTAAACTACATACATTCAATCAACCAATCATTCTTTTATTTCTCTTGAGACTCTTAATATGTTCGTATACAGTCAAAAAAGAAATCAAATGACAACAGAAAAACAACGTTAAATACTAAATGAAAACAGTGTTCATCTTTTGTAATTGAAAGTAATGCAATTTAAAGTAATTCAAAAAAAAGTTTTTATTCTTGAATACTATAGATGCTTTAAGCTTTAAATGTTTAGTAAATAATAATGATCTAATCTGAAATAGGTGTTAAGGTTACATTTTTCTTTGATGATTTTACAGGAGACTCTATGTTTGACACTGGTATTCCTGATCAGTTTGATCTGTCTGGGATGTCCTTCAGTACCCCGGACAGAGATAACGACGGGTTTAGTGGATATAAATCTACTGATCTATTTTAATCAAGTGTCCATGTATCTTTTTCTTTTGTAATTCTACAGGAGACAGTATGTTGGACACCGGTTCTTCTCGTTTCTATCTGTCTGGGATGTCCTTCAGTACCCTGGCCCCAGGATCATGAAGCAAACTTAGACTTAAGTCAAAATTTCAATTATCTATAAAATCTTTAAAACTTGTTAAAGGAAACTCATAATTTGCATACAACAGCAGACTGATGATACAAAATCGGAAGGTATTTTCATTTTGGGCTATTTGACCTCTAAAAAAATTCAGCATCTAAGGCATTTTTTGACTTAAGCTTAAGATGCTTCATGATCCCGGGGCCTGGACAGAGATAACGACAGGTGGAATTATAACTGTGCTACTTGGAGTGACCTTAGAGGGGGCTGGTGGTTTAACTACTGTCATCTTGCCTTCCTTAACGGTCCCTGGTCCCCGGGAGACTGGATCTACCCATGGTATCCTACAGTGACTAATGGTAAACAGATAAAAGAAACTCGGATGATGATCAAACCTACCTGACTTTTTATATCTTTATATACATACTTGTTCACGCATGATATGAAAAGTTATATACTTTTAGTGTAAGTGATGAAAATTTGATTGTTAGACATAAATGTTGGTATCGATGTTATATTACATAACAAATTTATAAATATAGTATGATTTTGTGTAATGAATTTAATGAAAAGTCCTAACATGTATTATGTTTAAAAATAGTTTTATACATGGAACCTTACTTTCTAAAAACATGGAAATTGCATTCAATCATTCTACATAATAAAATTTTTGTTTCTATATAAGTGTCTTCTTGCTTTTTATCAAATAATATTATGAAGTATATAAATAACAAAGGAAATGTTTTTATACACTCCATGAATTTAAACTGATCCCCGTGAAAGGTCAGATGACTGGGGAGAAGTGGGGTATAATTCTATCATTCTATTATCTCTGAACATGTAGTTAAGACTTATTTTCATTTACAAGCTCTTCTCTTTATTTGCAGGTGCAATGTGTTTATAAAGTGTGCATAAAATGTATTTAAACGTCAAATTAATGAATGGGAGAACAAAAGATTATATGATTTAATTTGATGACATTTAGGCTGAAGGCCTTGACAGAGCAACGTCATACAAAAAAATTAATTTCGCGCTCTTTTTGAGCAGTTTGACATTTAAAAGCTTGCTTTAGAAACCTTAACTTTATAATTGATATATACGTTTGTCTTCTAGACATATTAAATGCTACAGATTCCATTATGCAAATGCAAATGATGTCGAATCTATGGAGCACGATTTTAGGCGCACGATTGGGGATATATTACTCTACTTTCCTGCATTGGTCAATAAACCACTTGTTCATTTCTAATTTGAGAAATACTTTTAAAAAAACTGGATATATTATCCGCCACCTGACCCTTTCTAATCGTCCATTAAACCTTATCAAATCGGATTTTTCTTAAAATTCGATAAAGCTATTCTTGAGATGGGGGAGAGAATAGAAGCCTATATATGGTAAGGGATGCGGATAAAATATACAGGTTAATAACAAACATATCTAACATTTAAGAATTAAAAGGTAATAGAAAGTTCAAAGCTCAAATGAAAAAAAATATATACCCAAAGTTGGCAAAAAAAGTCGTGAACTGCTCAATATTTACTGGACGAGATCGGTTGGGGTTTCATCTACTCGCATGTACACAATAGACGCAGCCATTACGCTTGATGCATGCGGGTGCACAATTAAGGTCAAAATTACTTAGTAATTAAAAAATATTAACAGAGTTATCCCGCTTTCCCTAAAAATTAAAATCCAACCCTTATAATTTGTACATTAAACACTTGTCTGAAGTCAGGTTAAATAAAGATTTGGAGAGAAATGAAAACAAGTTTTATCTCCAAATTACTTAATACTATCAATTAAATCTATATTTTCTGTCTCGTTATAACTAAAGAAATATTCGCCCTGAGGTAATAAATACACGTAAATACACATGCATCTATAAAAAATGACAACATGTGTGTACCCACATGTAAGTAACTGTTTACCTGCTCACTGTGCAGCCTTTTAAAACTAATTCACATAGCCTGCATTCTCATATAGAGTCACAACATGTTCCTAACATAAACATCATTCTCGTTATAATATGTCCATAAAACAATGCAAAATAGGAGCAGAGCAAACAGATAAAAGACGCAATCAACTGTAAATAATAGAATATCACCTGAAGAAGAAAGAAGAGGATGACAATGTGGCAATGGCAATTTGAAAAACTCGTGAATTCACTGCTTTCGGTCAGAGAAGTCGAAAAATATTAACAGAGTTATCCCGCTTTCTCCAAAAATAAAAATCCAACCCCTTCTAATTCGTACAGTAAACTCAATATGAGTTTGATATGATCAATGAAGCTGCACCTTCAGCTGAAAATAGGCAAAATAAAGTTGTAGAGAGAAATTACGATAAAATGATATTGCTGGAACCATTTTAAAAAGACGCATTCTATTATTTTTTCCCAGAAGTTAGATATCTGAATCAGAAAATATCATTTTTAAGTTGTTGTAGGCTAAAGTCAATTGATAATCACTCATATCTTAGTATAAAATAATGTATCCTTTTATTACTTAAAGCAACAAAAATATCAATGAATGTATTCAAAGAAAAGGTTCTCGTTTTGTAAAACCCTCTGGTACTGTTTATTTTGCACCAAACATGGTTTTATGTTCAAATTGACACATATAAAAAGGGTGCGTATTTTTGATAATGATTCAGAGACCAAGAAATATACAGGAAGTAGAAAACCGGAAGTCTCCTCTTTAATAGATTAATGTATTCAACATAATTTTAGAGCTGGAAAGAAAAATTACACATCTAATATGTTTTTCGTGTAAAAATAGAATGTTATCCATTTGTGAGAAAAAAAAAATCATCGTATCTTGTTTCTTATCACATC